GTGTTTCTTAAAATCTCTTCAACCTCATTGGTTCCTTATTAAACCCTATTGTACTCTGTTTCAGTTAGTCCAAACCTAGAATATTGCTTAAATTCTGGGTACCAAATTTATAAGGATGCCCTTTCATCTTCATCATCATCAATAAGTAACTATAGCTGAGTGTCTGTGGAAAACGCTTCTGGAAGCCAATTCCAAATTGACCATCCCTAGCGATAAGAAAAGTACACAAAAGAAAAGTAATGGGACCCTGGTTACCTTGTGGATCTGGTACTGCTATGTCCATCGTCCACAGCTGTGTTGCTCCATTGCCTCTCTGATGTGGTTACGTAAAATACATTTTAATTACCACAGCTGTGGACATTGGAAACGTGCTGGGACCATAAAAGCAAATGATCATAAATAATGAAATACGTGACTTTTTACTAACAACAACAACAAAAACCAATCCATGAAATGTGTGCTTAGTAAAGCAAGTCAGTTTTCAGATCTAGGATGTAGATCTAAGGGCAGTGTCTTAGCCAGCTCGGGCTGCCACAGACTGAGTGGCTTAAAAAACAGAAATCTATTTTCTTGCAACTCTGGAGGCTTGGAAGTCTGAGATCAAAGTGTGGGAAGGCAGGGTTAGAGTCTTCTCTCCTTGGCTTTAGACGGCTGTCTTCACATGGTCATCTCTCTGTACCTTTCTGTGTCCTAATGGCCTCTTCTTATGAAGGACATCAGTCCTATTGGATTAGAGGCCGACTCCAATGGCCACATTTAACCTTACTCACCTCTGTAGAGGCCCTGTCTCCAAATGCAGTCACATTCTCAGTTACCAGGGGTTAGGGCTTCAGCATATGCATTCTGAGGGGACACAACACAGATCACATGAGGTGGTTTTGGGCACAGACCCTGCAGAAGAAGAAAACACACACATTTGTTCTCTGGTGCATCATCCCAACTCCAGTGCGCAGCCAACGCTGAGGACTCAGACCGCAGCGGTCCTCTCTACTGAGGGCCACCTCGTGCCGGGCATTGTCCTGAACTTCACACGCACCAATCAAGTGACAGTCTCCCTCCCTCTCAGGGGTCAGCTCTCCCTAGTGTACTTGGGAAGGCGCGATGGCAGAGAGAGGTGGGCTGTCCCCGGTGACCCGGAGCTCCCTGTCTGACCGCTTCTCCTGCTGGGTGTCCCCCTCTGTGCTGCCAGGGCCACTCCTCCTCCACTACTGACCACAGCTCGGAGGAACCTCGGGCTGCAGTCCCTGTGGTGCAGAGACGCCTTTGCTGAGGGGCGGTGAAAACTGGGCAGATGACACCTGTCTCTGTGGCCCCCTGCGTTGCTGCACTCAGGAGGGGGTGGGTGCTGTGCTCATCCCATTATGAGGCCTCCACCCTCATGACCTAATTACCTTCCAAAGCCCCATCTCTAAATACTGTTAACATTGGGGTTGCATTGGGGAGTTTCAACGTATGAATTGGCGAGGGGGACAAGACACAGATATTCGTCTACAGCAGGTAGCTAACCTTTGAGAAATCTAATTTCAAGTGAATTTAGTTTCATGAGTTGTGAAGTGATACAGATTGAAACAGTCTCTGAGTATCCGCTGTCTGGGCTCCGAGAAGCATTGGAAGCTTTCACTGACAGATTGATGCTCTAGGGGGCCCCGAGCAAGATACAGCAGTAGTTCCTTTGTGGTTGTAATACTGCTACGAGGATTTTTTTAATATTTAAAACTGTTTCCTATGAACTAGAACATTGGTGGCTCTCTGCAGGCTGCTGAAAGCCATTGAGTGCTGGAGAAGTGGGGCAGCTTGAAGGGCTCAGCATGAGAATCTACAGCGAATCCAGTTTTGTCCCCGTAATAGCACGTCTCGCAGGCATGAATTAGCCGCTCTCTGGGTGCCAGTGTTTTCCTTTTCTTTTTAATGGTTATGTTTTTCATCAGGTTCCTACTCACCAACCTGAAAAGCATGTTTTGATGATCGGCTAATATTATTATCTGATGGAATATCCACCACCCATCGAATTAGCCATTCAAATGACTGTGTTGTGTGCCCTTCGAAAATTGTCAAGAGTGGGGACTAAGAGAAAATTAATAAATTCAGGTTCTCTATTACATAGGTCTTTCTGTCTTCTTGATAATTTGTGTTTGATGGGGTCATTTGCCTACATGAAGGAAAGAATTTATATATTTATCTGGAATGAAATGGATCACTATTTATAGAGGTGACAAAAACTTTTTGGGGACACTAGATAGATTTTAATTTTATTTATATTGTTAGTGTTTAACCCAATAGGCTGAATAACTGAATATTCTTGACTTGGGCTGCCTTTGAGTTCCACATCCTTCCTGTGAGACTAGTCAGAACCGAACTGGAACGCTCCAGGTTCTTTCACTGACAGCCTTCATGAACAAAGAAAACTTCTCTCAATGACAGGCGTTTTAAAGTTTGGGTTGTCGCTTAAAATAATTCCTCCGCGTCTCATAAAATGCCTTTATTATGAAAAGACGCAGAATGATGTTGGTCACACTGAGTAGCACCTGTCTCACTGCCTTTAAACCAGGAGCCATCCTGTACTCCGCTCATCCTTCAGAGGTCACATCTCACCTGTTAGAGAGCCAGTATCTGGACTCTGCCTTAAAACCCTCCAGGAAGCAGCCCCTTTCCCCTGCTCCCACCACACTGCAGTCGGTGTCGGGGTAAAGAGCGAGGGCTCTGGGGTCAGCTCTGAGCTTGAATCCAGAGCGCCACTGACTAGCGGTGAGCCTTCGGGCAAGTCCACCTCTGCCTCAGTTTTCTCGTCTATAACCTGAGGGCATTTGCAGCGAGTTGTGTTGCAGGCCTGTCGCAGACACTGTGTGGACAGCTTTTTGAGCAGTGCTGACACACGGTAAGGGCTTAGTGAGTATTAGCTATCACTATTATTATTATCCCCATTCATTATTACACAATCTAAGCCCAGCCCACCATCAAAGCGAACTTTACAAAACAGACCTCAGATCATGTTTCTCTCCTGCTGAAAAGCCTTCCGTAGTTAGCAGTTAACTCAGAAAAACAAAACAAAGCCCGGAGTCCTGACTGTGGTCTTCAAGGCCCTGTGATGTGACCCGTCTGCTCCTGACCCCATTCCGAGCCGGCCTCCCGCTGGTCTCCCACTGGGCACAGAGTGCCCTTGTTCCTGCAGGAACCGCCAGCCCTGCCCCAGCCCACAGCGCTGTACCTGCCGAGTCCTGGCACCATCCGGCTTCGGGGCTCTGCACACTGGGGCACGCACCCCCTGGGGACAGGCACTGCCCACTCATTTCGTCCCTGGGCTGCCAGTGCCAGGTACATGGCAGTTGCTCAGTAGGTGTGTGTTTGTTGAATGGATGAATGAGTGAAACAACTATAAGTGCCAATTCTAGTGCTTTGTATGCTTTCAAATTAGAAAATCAAGAGCTTGCACAAATATTGTCAAAATAAAGTTACATTTGGTTAAAACCATCAGAAGTTTCTCTGGAGTTTCATGAACATGGCACAGTGCAGCGAACAGTGAACTGGGAGTGTCAAGATGGGGTCCTGGTTCTCATTCTGTTTCTGCTGCTAAAGGTCTTCCCTGAATCTCTGCTTTCCCACCTATGAAACTCAGGCAGGGCCAGGTCTCGAACTCGGGCTCTGAGAAGCTGCTCAGTTGAGGGACGTGAAAAGGGGTGACTGGGAGGCACCCTGAACCCCCCACTTTAACTAGAGCAGCTTTGTTTATATTTTCTTTATATATTGGGGTTTCATATGAAATTTGGTTTTTAAAGAAATGTCTGCTTCTAAAAAGTTTAAAAACCACTGAATTAGAAGAGTACAAAGGTTATTTGTAGCTTAATAATTCTGATTATGGTAGCTTAACTATTTAAAAGCTATTGTTTTTTCATCATTCTCTGCTCCCTTCCCTCCCAAAGAAAAGCTCATTGAATATTTTTTTTTAAATCTTAAAGAAAATTATGATGTTAGTAAATAAAATTATCATCACCAAGAAGTGAGCTACATGCAAACAAAGAGCACGCCTGCCTGCTCATGCTCATGGCTCAGCTCAGCGAGCCTGTAGCTGGGTGGACAGATGGACATGGGCAGAGGGCAGCAACTTATTTTTAAGTGAGAATATTTTATTTTGTAATAACTGGTGAAAAACATGTTAAACCATGGGATTTCTACAAGTGAAGTCTGTCATTTTTACAAGAGGATATTTATTGGATATTGATATTGTAATAGGTCATTTTAGAGCACTTTACTAAATGGCAAACTTATTGCACCTTCCCTTAATTCCTCATTAATTTTCTGATGTTACTTATTTAAAATATAAAACTGAAAGTAGCCAATGTGATTTTTTTTTTAAAAATTTTTTCTTTGCTTTGCTTTAAAGTGGGATCCTCTTAGAATGTTAACATTAAAAAAGAGAGTACTATTTTTATCATGAAGTTAAACTGGAAAGTACTTAATATAAGCTATTTGGGGACAACTTTAGATCACAGTTGGTCATCAGTTGACTCTTAAATTTGGCAGACCTGCTTGAAGTTGATAAGAAAAGCTTAACTGAGATTTCAAAACCATTTTAGTTGAGGTAAGCTAAAGCGAAGGTAATATAATGGTAAAACACTGAACTATGGACCTGCAGAATTAGTTTTAGGGATAAAAATGAGAGTATTTACCTTGGGTTTTTGAAAAAGCACGTGATAATATATTGTAACAAAATATATAAGAATTATATGTTACATAATAGTAAGAACGTTACTCATAAGGTTGTCAAGTGTTCCCACCTGCACGTCGTCTAGTAAGATTTTGAATTTTGGTATGTTTTACTATCAGTCGCTCTAAAAGCTGTTTCTCTTAGCCACTAAGATTCTGAGGTGTATGTGTAATGTATGTGTAATGTATGTGTATAAGTGAACATATGAAAAGTATGCAATTATTCATGATATAGTTCTTATATTTGATACCATTCACCCATGTGTTTATGTTACTTATGACTTTATCGCCCCCTTTAGGTAAAGAGGATGAATTTCCGAAGAAGCCTTTGGGGCAGCTTCCACCTGAATCTCAGCCTGCCGGCATTAGTCAGCTGAGCAATGGACAGAGTGTTGGCAGGTCCAGTCCCCACAGGATCAGCAGAAGGGAGAGTGGCTCATCGCCTCACAAAAAACCTGAGCATTCCCCTCACCATCAGAGCAGACTTGGGACACCGGAAAGAGTGAGGCAGCAGAGACGGAAGTCGGTGGATGAGGACAGTAAAAAGCTTAAAGAGGAGGCAGATTTTCAAAGAAAACCTCCGTTAGGTCCACAAGACAACGCCAGGCAATATGATCACGCAGCTGCTAACCAAAATAGCAATGCCACTTCAAATATCAGGAAGGAATTTGTGCCCAAATGGAATAAGCCGTCAGATGTTTCCGCTGTTGAAAAAACCGCCAAATATGCTGGTGAAGGCAAAAGTAGGGCCCGTCCCGCGTGTACAGGCGCCGCCCCGAGCTCTGCTGAGCCTCGGGCGTCCAGCGCACGGCCGACGGGGCGGGTCTGGGACGCCGAGGAGGGGAAGCGGGGCTCCAACGCGTCACAGTATGATAACGTTCCTGAAAGTGAAAACGGCGCTTCTGTCGAAGAGGCGCTAGAACGGGCTTACTCTCAGAGTCCGAGGAATATTGTTTACACTCATAGTCCAAGAAAACATGCTGAGCCAAGTTCTAGTCCTTCAAAAGTATCAAACAAGTTTACTTTTAAAGTACTGCCTCCAAGTTATGCAAAATATCCGTCTCACTTAGATGGGGACGACCTCGGGCCGGTGCACCTGCCATCTTACAATAACCCCCCTGTTTACCGGGGGAATTCTCCCAAACACACCCCTGCTGCCAACAGCAGCTTTGTGTTTCCACAGTTTAGCCATGGGGCTCAAATGAATCCTTCCAGGAGACCCCATGGTTCCACTCTTTCCATCAATGTTTCTCCAGAGAAATCTCACAGCCGCCCAAACCCTGTTGTCCTACCATCTAGTCGAATAGAAGTGCTTCCCGTTGATATTGGTGCTGGGGGATATTTGGTCAACTCAGGGTCACCAAAGAATGGAAAATTTATCATTCCTCCAGTGGACTATTTGCCAGACAACAGAAAGTGGTCGGAAGTCAGTTACACGTACAGGCCTGAGACGCACGAGCAGTCATGGACTCGAGATGCTAACCGCAGCCACTTAAGCAACTTACCCAAATACCCCGCCTTCCAGCACATGCCCTTTGAGGACCATAGCCTCCCCACAGTCTCCATCGATGGTCCAGTGCGGTATCGAACTTCCCCAGCCTTAGAAGATGCCGGTTCATCGGGGTATCCATATCCAGGGCCCTCAGCTCCAGCTTATCACTACAGAAATCGGGATGGACTTTCTGTTCAAGAATCAGTATTGCTGTGAGAATTTATCCATACTTGCCCAAGACGAGAGAATAGAAACCATATGAAACCTACATTGCTATGTTTATAATTGCCAAAGCAGTATTTTATACCGTTGTAAACAACTCGCGCAATTCTAATGTATGTTAGTAATAAGAATAGGAGGAAGCGTTTTCATCCCCACGTAGACGCTGCTTAAGATGAACATCTTAAATTGCATCAACACTGAACCTGTTAAAAAGAATTGACCGTGGAAACATAGCAATAGCATTTAGGGGTGCACGCACAATAATAATTCATTATTCAGTTATACTTAACAGCTTTCTCCAAAACCTGAACATTTTTACTCTGTCAGCCCATTCTATTTTGAGTAATGTTACAAAGCACTGAAAAACTGTGTAGAGTAGATATTTTTAAGGCTATATGTAGTGTATGTGTCTTTTAGTAGATACTGCAGGCATCTATGCATATACATTTGAACTCTGAACTAAAGAAAATTTTTAAAAAATGACTTTTAATCTAGATCCATGAAATAATTTATTATTCTTTTCTTTAACTGGTCTTTCAGTCAAGTTCCCCACCCCTCCTTACCCCCCCTCATATTTTTAACCCAGATCCAAAACTGACTTAAGGGTTGGTTTGCCCTGAATTCAAATGAATTCAAATTTCACAGAATACTCACCTTCTCATTCAGTTGCCGCCATTTTCTTTCAATCTGAAAATTTAAAGGCAGTGGAAGGAAAGGCCAACCACTTAATGGGGCTGAAAAACCGTGCAGTTTCAGTTAAGTGTCTGGCCACCTGTGTCCCGGGCAGTCAGCGCCTCTGTGCCCTGCGCCAGATGCAGAGGAAGCACTGTGGTGCAGCCCTCCCGTGGGCACCAGCAGGAGGAGCTAGCTGTGAGTTACTGCTCATCAAGCACTTTTGGCAGCTGTGGAGCAAACTCCTTGGAGAGTCCTTTCAAAGCAGGATCAACAATGAGGTCACTTCTTCTGCCCCTCAGTATAGTGCAGGGCCTCCTACGGAGGGCCAGGTTCATTTCCAAATCTTTTTCAGGCACCAGTCCTTTAAAGAATGTAGTCAATGGAAATTGCTGTGCTTAGGCCATTAAATAATCAGTGTGTAAAATTGTAAAATGATCCTAATTATTAATAGGAACCTAAGGTTTTGGTCCTTTTTTTTTTTTTATAGTGTGACTTTCATACTTGCAGAAATCTTTTTTTCGGTGACAAAAATTCAGGTTCATGTTAAAAATGAACAATGTCTTTTACAATACTCTGTTACACTACAATTACCAAAACACTGACAAAGTGTGGACCTGGCCAAGAAAGTAGGGCTTCGTGTTTAATTGGAGAGCTTGTTTTCAGCATTACTTGGTTCACAGTTGAGTAAGAGTAGAAAACCTAACATTGAGGGCTCTTCTTGTTGCAAGTTAGGGCTTCAAGCTTTCAAGGTACAGAAGTGTGTCTTTTAAAATGAGAGTAACATTTGTTTAGCTAGTGAATGTGACATATTTTTTTATGTATATAATGAGTCTAGTGTAATTTTCATCAACTTGGTAATGATGTTATCAAATGGCAGAACAAGTGCAGTGTCTTAGCAGGTAAGCACTACACTGAAGCTCAGACAAAATCCCAATATCACTGGGCTCTCGGTTCTGATCATGTGAAGCTTAGAAATAAATGTATATAAAAATGTAGCTGAGGATATTAATTCCAATTTTAAACCATGACTCTGTGACTTGTAATAAATCAAGCTGTACAATTTAGTTCATGATAGCAGCACCAAGCTGCTCCAAAATCTATATATCAACAGTGATAAATACTGTACATTTATATATATATATATATACATATATATATATATATATATGCAAAACATATGCACACACACTATTTTCTTATGTCATCGATGACAGTTTTTATCTGTATACTTTTTTGGATGTGATTGTTTTTAACATGCTAAAAGTAATACATATATTTTGTTTTGTGTCTTTTATGTGCTTTCTTCATATGGCAAATGTGCAGCATCTCAATGCTTCTAAATCTAATTCTCTTCTAACTGAGTAGATATTGCCCAGTGTCTGCCTACATGACTATGTATATCCAGTTCTATGTTGTATGCCTTATTAATTTCCGGTACTACATTTTTTAGAACTACATCACCTTGCCTTTATTTTATTTAATCTGCCATTATTAATAGCAATAAGGTATTATTTCCAGTCTTCTCCATGATGCACTATAGTGCTCTGCATTCGTATTTCAAGTAGGAAAATTTAATTTGAAGTTATTTTGCTACCATACAATTTTACTCTTTAAAATTTATCTTTTTAATAAAAGATAAATAATGAAATAATTACAGAAGAAATAATATTGGTTAAGTGGGTTAAATATATTTATGAAAAACATACTTGGTAAGAATTTCAGGGTGTGGAGACTGATTTTACTCTAACTGCATGTACTTGGTGTAAATATTTTGCCATTATTAAGTCTTTTCTTCATAGCAGTTTTGCCTAAAACAATAAGCACTTTGGTATAGTTTTTATTTTCTTAATATTCAGTTTGAAAAATTAAAGAAACTAGACCCAGAATCTCAACAGGTTTTTAAACTTTGACACTTTAAGGTGCTTATGTTTTTTATAAGATTAAAAAAACCCAAAAACTGACAGCCTTTTAAAGCTGGGAGATATCAAATCAGATATCAAAGTATTGTAGTGGAGGAAAAGAATGATTTTCCATCTACCCTCTTAGGTTCTCTGGCCAGGCCCTGTAAAGTGGACTGACAAAAGACAGATGAAAAGAGAAAAACAGAAGTTTATTGGCATGTACATCATGCATTCCCATGGGTGGACCCAGCGATGAGAAACTCAGAGAGAGGGCAGAGGGGGTCTAGATACCTAACTTAATGGGGAAGGGAAGGGAGAAAGGCCCTCATGGGAAAGCACATGACTTTTTGGAAAATAAATGGGCCCTTTGGAAAATATATGGGAGGTATAGTTTGCGACAGGGTCAGGATGTGGTGCCAGAAGTGAAGGTTAGAGTTGCCCAGAGAGGGGATTTATGACAATTGAGTTATTTCCAGGAGGCTCTGCTTTTAGGCCAGTAAGGGATTTCAGGAACTCAGATGCCTTCAGCTCAAAATCATTCTTATGCCAAAGTACCATATTTTGGGGTGGCATGCCCCAACCCCCTTCAGCATCAATGGTGGAATGTTTCTTGAAAAAGCTAAGAGATTTAGTCAGTAGGACATTTCTAGAGAAGAAAAAGGGATGTTTACAGATGTGATGTGATTTTTTTTTTCATTCTAATACTAAATTTTCTGTCATACTCAGGGCAACTTTAAAATTGAGTTTCATATTTGCAGTTCTTTCAGGCCTCTCCCTTGGGACCCATTATAATGCAAGCACAGAAACAGGACCTTGTGGATACTTTGCTGAGATCTCTCAGGATTAGAGAAAAGCATGCCATGTCCACAACTAGGGATTAATAGATGAAGAGGGCCTACAGTTTAATCTTTGGAAATATTAGTCCTCTCAATTAACTTTTACACTTACACCTTATTTTAGTAATTGATTGTGGGCTAATTAAGATTATGGTTTTGTGATCTGTTTTTGTGTGTGTTTGTTTTGATTGTCCTTTAATGGATTTTAAATGTCCATTTCTAATATGGATATTAATGCTTATTGACCAGGTGGAACTTTAAGAAGTCGAACTTTACTTTTACAATGACGCAAGGTATTGAGAATGGGATTCCATTTAACCTTTCAGAAAGGTTTTCAGTCTTAACTATAAATCTAAGCATAACTGCCATTCTATAGATAAGGACACTGAGAAATTAAGGAACCAATTTTAGCTTTCATAGAAGTGGATTTTGACCCTTGCAGCTCTTTAGAATTATCTGGGGAATTTATAAAAAATGATCTCCTTGGTTCTTACTCAAGACCTGTTAAATCAGAACATCAGGGGTTGAACCCTGATATCAGGTAATTGTATTTTCCCCCCCGTTTTGTCAATTAAGCTCTTTAAAAAAAAAAATCCCTGTAAAGTTGATTGTCTTATATTCCCACTATGAGCTGTCTCAGAAATTCTTCACATCAGTTTTAGAGTTTAGAAACTCTGATTTCAAGTAAGTTAGGAAAAATTCGAGTGGAAAGATTAACATTACCAGCAGCGTCTGTAAATTTTGGTGAACTACGGACGGTTGTGGAAAGTATAAATGGCTTCAAACGGAAGGTGGCAGGACCCTGCACGGTCTCCTTACTGCTGAGACTAGTTCTACAGAACAGCTAGAGCCTCGTTAAGGTTTGCATTTCCCTAGACAACCCTGGTCACTTTCCTCAAGCGACATGCTGAAAAACAAGCCTGTGCTGCTTGGAGGCCTAAGTGCATCTTCCCTATGTGAGGAGCTGAGGAAACCCGGCCGCCTGTCTGGTCACTCACCTGGCCAGTCAACATATTGTTGAGCACCTGCAGTGGACTAGTCCTAGGGATGTGCTGTGGCTCATGCTTCAAGGTAGGAGACATGTTTTATCGTCGTGTCTCTATTCAGTGTTGGAGACACGCCCTGGTGATTTGTTTACAGGCACAGAAGGCCGCAACTCAAGAGTGCTGGGAAAACTTGCAGGGGAGTTGCCTCGGCTGAGCCCGAGGGTTCATAGCGTGGACAGACAAGGGAGGGGACGGGGCATTTCTCCACAGGGTGGCGTGAGCAACTGCGTGTCCGTGTGTGGAGGTTTGCCACTGATGTGTGGGTGTGTTGGGAGTTCCACAGACCAGATCTTGGAGGGTCTTGGATGCCATTGAACTTGATCCTGTAGGTGGGTTTTGCCATGGTTATGTTGATATTACCTGTGTGGTCCCTAGAGACTGGAAGCTAGATGTGAGGGAACCAGACTGGCGGAAGTCAGGAAGCTTGTGGCAAGTGTTCTGTCCAAAAGGTGTCACAGAGGTTCGGCCAGGAAGACTTTTCAAAGCAAAGGTGATTAACTTGAGAACTAAAGTGGGCAAGACTTGATAATTGTTTGAATATAATTATAAGAGATAATATTACTGAATGCTTACTATGTGTCTGACACTGTGCTGAAGGATGTTACCCACATTAACTCATTTAATTCTCACAATAACGCGATGAAGCATGTACTAGAATTCCCAGTTAACAGATGAGAACACTGAGGCACACGAGTTGAAATCGCTTGGTGACACAGCCGAAAGTAATTAAGCCAGGACTGGCCTCCAAGCAGTCTGAATGCAGAGCCTGTTTCCCGCTCCCACATGTTGTAAGGAGGTGTAATTTAACTACATAACATTCACCCATTTAAGGGGACACTTCACTGACTTTTTAGTAAATTTACAGAGCTGTGCAACCATTACAGCAAAACCAGTTTTAAACGTTTTCATCACCTCAGACGGATCTCTTGTGCCCATTTGCAATCTGCCTGCATTCCTGCCCCCAGCCTCAGGTAGCCACTAACCCACTTTCTATCTTTCTGATTTGCCTTTTTCTTTTTTTTTTAACATTTCATAAAAATGGAATCAGACTATATGTGGTTATTTCACATCTTACTCTCACACTTAGCATAATGTTTTTGAGGTTCATCCATGTTGTAGCATGTATCAGTAATTGCTTTCCTTTTTGCTGAATAGTTTTCCATTGTGGCTGTGTCACATTTTGTTTATTCACTCACCAGCTGATAGACATTTGGGTTGTCTTCACATGCTACTGTGACCATTTGTGTATGAGTCTGTGTATGGATGTGTATTCATTTCCCGTGGATATATATATATATATATATATATATATATATATATATATAGCAGTGCTATTGCTGGCTTTTATGGTAAGTTTATGTTTAACTCTTTGAGAAACTTCTAGATTGTTTTCCAAAGTGTCTACACCATTTTATATTCCCACAAGTAATGTATGGGTAAGGATTCAGATTTCTTCACATCCTCGTCAATACTTGTTATTGTATTTTTTTTATTATTTTGGTGTAAAGAGATTATCTCATTGTGACTTTAATTTGCATTTCTCTAATAGCTAATGTTGTTGACCATTTTTCTATGTGTATTTATGGTATGTATGTGTATATAGTTTAATTTATCAGTTTTTTCTTTATGGATCATGCTTTTAGTGTTGTATCTCTCCATCTAACCTAAGGTCACAAATGATTTTCTTCTGTTTTATTCTAGAAGTTTTATAATGTTAGTTCTTACATTTCAGTCTATGAGCCATTTTTAGTTAATTTCTGTATGTGGTATGAGGTAAGAATCCAAATTCATGTGGCTATCT